CAGGAATATCCTTGTAGCTGTATCTCTGCCCATCCCTGAGTGTTTCCTAGAAGTGGAATTGTTGGGCCGGTGTGCTTGAAAGAAACAAAACAGAACAACCTAAGAGGCACTGCTGTTGAGGGCTGCCCAGGAGGTTCTGACCCAGAGCGACCCTCTGTACCATCGCCACCCTCCACCTGTCGTCACCTGCCAGGCCATTGTTCTGTCTCACTGCTGCATGCATCCAGAGTATGGGAGGTCATCCTCCCTGATCTTTTTAAATGAAGAGATGGTTCAGAGATGCAGAGAGCATGGCACACTCCCGCAGAGCCACCACCCAGCTTTAAGGAGCCTGACCCACTTGTTCTAGTTGCTTCGGATTCTTTTTTAAAAAAGAAAACACCATAGAAGTAGCCTGGGTCCCATCGGACACCCTCTCTAATACAGGTGTCCACCCAGATGACCATGGAGATGGGCATGGCATCGGTCCCTTTGTCCATCTTGTATCACACACTGTGTAGGTTAACATTGTATCGTTTTGTGAGTTTAAAAATTTTCCATAAACAGTATCCTGCCATATGTATCTATCTACCGCCTGATTTTCCTGAACACTGAGTTTTTTGAACTCAACAAGGGGCCTGCTTTTGCAGCAGGTTGCTAACCTGCCACTCAGAAACATACACATTGTATCCCCCAGCAGCATCCGAAAAGCCGAAAAGCCGGATCTGATCTTATTGTTCTAAACACACCACGCTCAAAAACAATCTCTTCCCCTTTGAGGATATTCTCATTTGATCGGCACAAAAGCAGAGCAGGCACCCATTGTCCCTCTAATAGCTGTCTGTGTTGGGGCTGCGCCAGTGGGTAAAAGGGTGCTTTCTGGATCTGAGGTACCTGAATTCAGTTCCTGTCTCTGCCATTTTCCAGCTGTGTGACCTTAGAAAGGTGGCCCAGCGTCTATGTGTCTGTAAAAGCAGCTCATTCCTGCCTACCCACAGGGCTGGGTGGAAGCCACTTAGAGACTAGAACATGCTCATTCCTCTGCGAATGGATCTTTGGTGTTCTCAACCCATTTATTTCCCCTCCTTGGATGGGGACACAGAATTTTGATCCTTGAAGGATTCTCAGGCTCACTCTGTTGCTTCCCCCTGCAGGGGGAGTTCTTCTGTCTGCTTCTCTGCCCCCCGGTCCCCCTTGCCCCACCAGCACTGGTATTTCCCACCGACCACAAGTACATGGTCTACCTGGGCATCTCGGACTACTTCTTCAACTCCGCTGGGTTTGTGTACCAAAAGGCTGGAGTCATGCGCCTGACCCTCACAGACGACATGGTAAGGCCAGACTGGTGGCGGGGGTGGGAGGGACAGTGGACCCAGAGGCCACAGACCTCCAGGATTTGAGTCCTTCTTCTCACTCATCCATCCAAATGAGAAACAAACAGGGCAGTCTATGCCGAGCAAGGGAGTCAGCCACCATTGCTCTTGGCAGGCTGGTCCAGGGCAGGTAGAGGGTGTCAGGGAGTTTCATACTGAAAAGGGAGAAGACTAGGGGACCCTTTGGCTGGAGTCTGTTGGCCTGGGGGAGCTGGGGGCAGGTTAAGGAGAAACAGGCATCTTGTGGGGTTGGTTTGGCGATATTCGACTTTCCCAGGCACATAAGTCGAGCAGCTGGCAGTCAGAGCAGGGCTTGGCAGGGCAGTCAGGGCAGGGCTGG